AATAATAATAATAATAATAATAATAATAATAATAATAATAATAATAACGTATAGCTATATATAAATCAGATGAATTGTCATTTGTTTTTATTGGGTTTTTACAATGCATACCAACTTTTGGAGAAAAGGGATTCTATGAAAAATAATTTTAATATCACTTCAATAAATCATAGATGCCCAAAAGTGCACATATTTTCTTCTGTAATATTAAAAATGGGCAGGCAGAAATTTTCATATATATTGAAAAGCCCTGGAAAATCAACATCAACCCAATAAATCTATGTCAACAGCAATGACATTTGATTTAGCTTAAAGGGGATATCACATCATTGCTGCTGTGAGCTCTGTGGTGCAACAGTCAGGGAAAAAGAGTGAAGTAGGAAGATGCTGGTGAAGAGCTAGAGGTGGATATTAACCTTTATGGAGACCTACAATTTATATCATTTAACCTATTGCTTTTACACAGTTTTTTTAATATTATACCAAATGAGGAGCACACAAACTTGTACAATTTAGAACTTTTCTTTTTTTATACCATTTATGCATTTTCCAGTTCCGCTTAGTCAAAGCAGATTTTACGAAAGGCATCAATGCTCATTTTTTGAAAATGAAAGAAGAATAATCCCGGTATTTCCATTGAAGAATAGAAGTCGATATACAGAAGAGCAATGTAGACAAACAATTATACTGTCTACAACGAACAGATTATTTTTTTCTTTTATCCAGATATAATAATTAATGGACATGCACTCACTTTAAAAAATGGAGTTCAAAATAGTTATAACAAACACTGAACCTTTGAAAATATTAAATTTATAAAAGGTGGTAAAATTATGAAAAGTCTTTCATTATAAAAGCCAAGTGGTTAGTGGGTTTGTTTAATCAGAGGGTTTATTATTCAGAGATGTGTGTTGACTCTTCACCAGCACATATATCAGATACACATCACAATGTCATAGACAGACTTTAAATTGACTGAGAACTAACTTCTTCCATATTCTATAGGCTGCAGATTTTTTACTTCCATTAATATTCAATTACAAATTCTGCTAATAGAATACTATAGAATAGACTACTTTATTGATCCCACCGTGGGGAAATTTAATAGAATATTAATAAATCAATAACTTTTATAAATGATAAAATATTGAATACATAAGTTTGCAAACAGTGTTTTTGGGCTAGCAAAAATGGTGAGTTTACCTAAATCAAAAGCAAAGAAAGTTGTCTCAGCATTGTTTCGCAGTAATCTAAATCATAATCTCCTATCAGTGCCAACAGCCAACAGGGTAATGCATTCTTTGTCAAAAGAAAAGTAAAGATATGTGTTAATTCCAGTTCTAACTCACTAATATCACGGCTAAAATTCCACCAATCTAATGCAATAAATAGAATAAAAACCTGATTCACATGGTTTAGATTTTGGACATTTTTCCTCTAATTCTTTTCTTCTGTGAGCTTTCATCTCTCTCCCAACCCACTCTCAGCTCGTTCCCCAGCTTCCATTTCCAATGAGCCACCGGCATGAGGATAATTGATCAATCATGCTAATTGAAGAGTCTGGACAGCTAGACCACCATAGCAGATGTGCCAATTTGCATTCATTAAGTTCTAAATGAGCCTTAATCATTGCTCAGGATTTGATTGACGAACATAAATATCTCCTGCTCGAAACTCATGGTGCCCATTCTGCCTCGAGCCTTAAAATGCATTCATTCCATAACTGATAACATTTGTTTGTCTTTTGAGTTTCACAAAACTGGAGACACCAACTCTCAAACAAAGAGTCTTGTGTAATGCAATGATTGACCACCTTTGTTTAAGAAATATGATATAAACTTATTTAATTCAGATAGCAACAGGAGGCCTGACATTCAGTAATGGTCAGCATTAACATATCTTATTAATACAGTCCCATTTCTAACAAAAGTGGATAGTGATGGAAATGACCTGATAATTGTATGCTCGTTTCTCTTCACAGTAGTATTCTTGTGAGACAGAAAGCATGCTTTCATAAAAAGAAGAAACTGCCTGTTTTTTGCAAGTCACAACAACAATGGCCAACCGCTCTTCATTATGAGAGAGATAAGCAGAATTTCCCTATGAATGATCACAGAGTTTTTCTCACCAGTCATCGGGGTAAAGGCATAAAGCAGAGTATTGAAATGTCAGTTCTTTGCATATAGTACAGTCTGATCATTTACAAGGCCTTGGTATTTTACAAAGATTACATTCTCAAATTGGGTTACAGCCCATTCACAACCTTGATTTTATAGGATTACAGCTAAGTGTTGCCTTAATGTTGATTCCATGTGCCTGCAAACCTGATTAATCCTAAACCGTACGATACACCTTAATTGTGCTGATTTACTCAAAGAGCAGATAGATAGATGCCAAATGGTGCCTCTGAAGTTACCATCTCGTTTCAATGTCTCTCCTGGATAAACAGGGATCTTTCTGTGTGCAGGAGAACAGTGCAAGGTCATCGTGCAGCATGAGCAAAATCTCATTACCTCCAAGCAAAGAGGGGAGTAAGACTAAATATCATTAGATTAATCTAATGACTAACAGCAGCATTTTCATTTGTGGTATAAACAGAATTCAATCAGTAATACAATAGAAACAAGCCAATAAAAACCGTCACTCAAGAATGCTCAAATGACACATCTGCTTCCACAGAGGGCTACAAAAAAGAATATTTTGACTGAAACTACCATTTACAAAGGTTTGCTTGACACACATACAGAGGGATCGCACTCCATAGCTCATCTGTCACCTGGGGTGTTGGTAAGGTTAACACATGCAGACATGCACCATCTCGCATATAACACACCCGCACTCACACCGGAGAAAAATCTGAGCCTACTGCTCTGCTTTGGACTGCGAGCCAAGTTTGAGACAAAGTCCACAGCCCTCCACTGGGTTATCAAACTGTGGCCAAGGCATGCATCCATCTGTGGAAAACATGGAGACCGTTCTCCCACTCTGCACAGCTCAGCCTTTATCTACAGATGGTACTACTGAGCAGGAATGTGACCTTTGATTTAGGTTCTCACGTGGAAAGAGCTTACCAATGAAAAGTGGAAAGAGGATTTATCTTGCCTCCCAAACTGAACAAATGAGCACATGGTTGTTTGCGTGGACCAGATTGGTTTAACACAATTTAAAAATTTAGATAAGTGTCCAGTGTAAGTGTCCTCATGTGAGGCCCATTTTACTTGAGAAATGAGGGAGGGGTGGATTCTTCCCATCATTACAAATGCATGCCAGTTTACAAGGAAGTGTTTAGCAGAAGACAAGCCCGAAGATCACGTATAGAGCCCGTTTGCATAAGGATTTCCGCTGAAAAATGACTGGACCACAGCTTCCATTGGGCCTTGTCAAGTGGGAGTTGTGTGCAGTTGCAAACGTTCTAAACAAGTGTATAGAGAAACGTGCCTTATTTTTATCATTTGTAAGGAGGGGCCACTTCATTGAAAGCAGCCAGAGGCAGTGAATGGGAAAGGAACTTGGCACCACTGGTGAAACTTTCTTCACAATGTACATTCCACAAACATCATGTTGTCCACAGAAATGTACAGGAGAGCAACACATAGAAAAGAGTTGATGAATCAAGAAGAGATCAAATGGTGACTTCATCTAAAATGTCTTGAGTTTCAGAAAGAGTACTGTTCTGATAAGACATAAACTATATATATATACATAGCCATTGTTAGATATTTAGTGTATATAACATTGTATGTAGAAATCTATTTCCAATTATTTTTAAATCCATTGTTCTCATTTTTTTTTAACTGCTTTTACAAAATGTGCCTAACATAACAGCAGATAACAGCCAGAGAAATCAACCAGTTTCTAGGTGGTGAGATTATACCATCAATCGTTGAAAGGGGGCTGTAGCAAGTCTTGTTTAAAATAATACAGCCTCGGACTTGTCACAGTCACAAGGGAAACAGGTCTGCGGTCACCATTATGCAAAGAATGTATCCATGCATCTTTTATGCAGGAGAGCCCTTGGTCTGCTTTGAAGGCCCCTGATGGAGGAGTGACTGCATGAAGATGCCGGAGCACTCCTCTGCAGCTCTGCCAAGCAGGTAATTCACAAGCAGAGGCAGCATGAATAAAAGATAATGGGCCACAGCTGACTCCTTTATGCCGCATGCAATTTCACTAATTCCTCCAAGTGAGTCTTTTCAATGCAAGAATTCTTGCCTTTTCCCCAATCTCGCCCATCTTAAACTCGTAAAGTCTCTTAATGGTGCAGCAGCAATAAAAACTATTTATGTGTAGTGGGCAGGTGGCAGTATAAACTGAGTACAGGGATGCAGCAGAATGCAAAGTTTTATAAAGAGTATCTTTCTCTATAATCTAAATGTATTTCAAATAATGGTGATAGGGATTAATGATTCATTTTATTCTCGCTGTTGTGATTTAATCAATAGGCATTAACATACATTGTGTGCGCTTTCATGTAGTCGGAATGAGGATACCGACCCTTAAAGCAGATCTTGAATAAGATGAGAAATCACACGTGCCAGCGCAAGATGTTTGGAACAGGAAGCATCTGTAATCATTTTCATTTACTTTGGCTTTTACACTGTGGCTGACTATTTTGTTCACTGGCATCACAAGTGGCTCATTCTTCCGCTAGTCACTGGGCACGCCATAGCTGCCAGGAAACTCAAGTACTTGTTGAGCTTTGTGGAGCTATATGGAATGCACCAAACGCTGTATGATCACAGAAAATGCTGAAGAAATAGTCATGGAAACTTTGTGTAGGAATGACTGGCCTTACTACTGAGCCCTAAAGGTATAATATCTATGGGAAACAAGGTCAGTGGTGGGGATCAGCAGTGACTTTGCTTATGCGTGTGCAGAGATAGGTCCTCCATGTCAGTTGATGAACACAAGAGAAGTTCAACTTATCAGGGACTGCAGACCTCCAGTGCCCTATCAGTATGGTAACTAAAAGGAAACTGTTACTCGTTCCTGACTCATGTATCTACTTTTGCAGTATTCACAAAACAAGGCTCACTGGTGCTGCAGGATAACTGTGTTTTCTAGTCTGAGCGTGAATGCAGATTTTGTGTAATAAATCATAAAAACATAAAACCAGGCTCACTCACCTCTACAATGTCAGAGTTGGTTCTGCTCTCGTGGGGTTCGTTGTACTCTGTGTATTTCAGCAACACTTTGTCCATGTCTGTGCTAGCGTACTGGAACAGTTTGTTAGAGCTGTTGAAAATGATGAGGGCTATCTCACAGTCACATAGTACACTCAGCTCGTAGGCCTTCTTCATCAAGCCAAACTTCCTCTTTGTGAAGGTAACCTGGGGAGCACACAGAAAACAAAGCCATCCATCAAAGAAGAAAATGGCTTCTCTACCTTAAAATGAAGATCAAAGTCATGACAACATTAGGGCACTGATGCAACGTTTGCCATGGCAATTAAAACAGATGTTAGTTCTACTTCACTGTGGACCATTACAGGAGCTACACATTTCAAAACAACAAGTACCATTCATGTATTTGATTTTATCAAGTGATAACAAAGGTAGAGAAATGCACATTTCTGGTTTTATTTGTGCTGCATGTGTGAGCCACATGCAAATGTTGCAGCGGGTCAAGCAGAGTCATTTAAATAGGCTTAAATATAGGCTAATCTAAAGCACCAGTAGCTCAGCCGTGAAAGAGGTAACAGAAAACAAACCTGTCCCTCCTTCAGAATCACTGCATAACACCGTCCGTTTCTAAAATGTCTAGTTAACAGGCACGAGGTCAGAGTAAGAGCTGAGTCAGAGGTTTGCCAACATTAGGGGTCCATACATTACTGCAGCCCCTGACTCCATGTACGGAAAGCTATCACCGTAGTGCAGCATAAGCCAAGTAACATGAGCCCTCAGATGGGACTTGGGGTCATACATCAATCCAGTGGTAACGCAACACTCTCTGCAAAGTGACTCTCTGTCCTGTATCTCTGCAGCTCTGTCTCTGTGGTCGCCTTGGACCCATTCACATATGTCATTATTTTACACTGGGTCTTTACAGTAAGCTACACTCATTTCTCAAACCAAAAGCACAATTCATGGGGAGTTAGGGTTGAAATATAGTCGTTTTCACCTTTGGATTTGCTACATTTGTCAGCAGAAATTTCTTTGAACATTTTCTGTCTTGCTTGCTTTTTCAGGTGCATGTATCCCCTTCAATTTGCATGCAATGCCACCATTGCTTGTGGAAATGTGGGTACGGGTTTTGTGCCACAAACCTAGAGCAGGGTGTGCAAGTCTGTATTTTTCAATCAGATTCACTGACCTACAAAAAAAAGAGTTAAGCAGATGAGCAGGCTTTGTTAAACTTTAATTGGTCACAGCTTGTGGCTATACCCTCATTTTGGTAACTGGTATGAGGCAGTTCAATCCCATGTGTTGCATAGTGTGTGTAACTCAAAGGCGAAGGGGGTCAGTCCTGCTGTTTTAAGTTTTTCCAAATCTAACATTCAACAGGTAACTGCACGGGACCATTATTCATGCTCTTTACACCAGAGTATTTGACCTCACATTAGTTTCTCTTTACAGTTAAGCTTTGACGAGGTCTAAATACCATTTTAACCTTTAAAACGAGAGCAAATTTGAGAGAGCAGGAAGGAAATGATGTATAACGAGTCTCAGGTCTTTCACGACCCACTCTGTGCGGTTGCGACTCTAACCTCTCTTCTCACTACACATCAGGCCTACCCACCTGCTTGCAAATTTGTTTGTTTGTCTAACCAACTGGAAAACGGGGACTGCCACAGGGGAAACGATTAACAAATTGTATGCTCTTTAGCAGATGAATGTGGCTGTTAAGCTGCAGAGATGTCACCTTTCAGCAGGAAGCCCAGGATGAGACGCTGAGTGAGGACTTTGTTCCACCTGGATGCATGGCAGAGTGCTGAGTACAGGGCTGCTGACCCAGGTACCGCTTCATTTCGACCTCAGCAACAGCAGCAGCACCGAGGCTTGGTCTTTACCACATCCACACGCACACACAGTCCCCCACAAACACCAGCGTCTGATCACACTAACATTAGCCGTGACAGCGTTAATGCACTTGGGACTGTTTTTCAGTCATTTCACAGATTGCTTTCGTTCAAATATCTAAGAATACCAGTCTCGATAAACTATGACACGAGAGAGAACAGAGCACAGACACCAGAATTCGCAAATGTAAACTCTCTCCACCCCCATCTTGCCTAAGATGACTGGTGCGACAGTGGAAAACCACAGACATCCTTGAGGTCACTTGGGAGAGGCTCTGGTAAAGCTTTCCTATGGTTCACCAACTCAAAGACACCCACAAAGACATTTAATGCGGCTTTAAAATTTGGAGTCATATATTAGACTGTCATACACATGTAACCTAGCTCCCTGACTAATTCATGTAAATCACAATGAAAGGATTAGACTCAGTATTGTAAAGCTCCACCACATAGTTTACCAGTGTGTCTTACAGTTGTTCTGGGGAATAAAATGTCAGCTCAAATAAGCTGGATAGGTTCCAACTTGGGGTCATTATAATAGCTCAGATCAGTGACTGTAACACAAGGCTGAAAACTCTACAGAAGCTCTCACAGTTTCAACGTGAGCTGGTAATTCAGCTCTCAATTCACACTTTTTAGCATCTCCATCATCTTCCCAAGTGCCCCAAAAGCACTACATGTTTTAACAAAGCTTTAATTGAGCTTTGTGATTTTGTTACTATGTGCAGTTTTCCCTTTCAACTTGTCAAAAAATTAGCAAGCTGGCAAAATGGCAAGGCTTTTACATTAGTGTATCGGCAAAAAGTCTAAATGAAAACTACTGCTGCAGCTGTGGAGAGGATGACAGCATCCCATAAGTGAAAGGGAAGATTTGCAATGGAACCTGGATAAGTTCTTTGTTTTTGGGAAAATGACAATATGACGTTCCAGTGGAATTTATCAAACTTTCTACACTTACAAGCAAACTCCTCTCATTTATTACTATGGATATTAAGTTGCAATTTGCCCCTTTCATGTGAAATAATTGCAGAGTGGAATTGCAATAATGTAATGCAAGACTAAATGTTACAATAGATTTAACTTTGCATATATACTTAGAATTTAACAGTGCATCTTGAAATAAATATATCTTAAATCTACAACAAAAACACACAAGTAAGTGCCTCTAAGATCAGCCAGATAGACCAGTCCAAAAGAAAAAGTATAGTATATAACAGCATATGCTACAAAAAACCCCAGACAGACACATTCACACTGAGTTGATGTGTCAATCAAAGGGTCTATCAATGTCTATCCTCAGGCAGGGGTGCCAAGATGACAAACAAGACATCTGGGACTGAGAGTGCAGCTGTGACTGGGGCATGGCAGGAGATGCATGAGCCACTAACACCTTCAGAGGGGGTGATGAGCTAGAAGCCTTATTAGAACCTCATGTCACCTCTGATGGCCCCTATGGCAGACATGAGAACAGGCTTGAGAGACAGTGAGATCTGGCACCAGCTGGTAGAGTGACCCAGGCCCTGTGGCTGCTGCCCTGGCTATGCAGCGCCAGAATGTGCAGGCTTGGGAGACAAGCCAGGGCCACCGTGACTGTCTGCATGGATCAGCTCTTTGAGAGAGAAGACAGCCTCACTACCCCAATGTGGACAAGTCAGGGCTCTGGGGCCTAATCCAGTGGGGGGCATTGACCTTGAAACCCACAGAAGCCACGACTGATCCTGTTTACTGGATAAAATCATATGTTAGTTTACTAAATGCGAGCAGGATTCCTGGAAATGTCTCCATTTAAGAGTGATTCAATTTAAAAATAATTCAATTGCTTAGTAAACTGAAAACTAATTACACAATGTGCTGTGTTTATTAAATTGCAAACAAATATATACGTTAAAAAAATACAGCCAATACAATTTCACACAAAAAATAGTTCAACCAAAGACTAAGGAGGTAATGATGAGCTGTATCTCTTCAGTTCGAGGATTCCTTTCAAGGTTAAATGTCACAATCAAGTTCAGCTTCATGTTTTGTGGCTTTAAGAAGTTTGCAAACCTATTTATCATCTGAAATTCTGCCTTTTGACATTATAATCATAATCAAAACAGCATCTGTAGCAGTTAACTGGTTTCCTGTACTCAACAGTATTTTGGACCTGTCAAACAAATAACAATAACCACAAAAAAAACAACTTTCACACGATTGATAGATAAGACAAAGTAAAGGGAAGTTATGTGTCGTTTTGCGCTCTTGCGAGTGAACGAGAGTGAGCAACTGTGCATGTGCCTACAGGCCTTTGACAAGAGCAAAATCCAAAATGAGCCACAGCAAGGGCAGGCAACCCTCCACCCAGCAGCAAAATCATCAAACTTTTAATGACTTGGACAATTACCCCCAGTGAGGCTGCTTAATGGCTTCCAAAGGATGTCACCAGACACTGCTCGCTAGGTTTCACCAGCATCAATAACAACTTACAACACCGGTGTGTATCCTTGCCTCTCCACTGACATTGCAGCGGGTACCCACAATTACAGCTGCTCTAGTATGCAGATGGAAGGTCCAGGACATGCTCATCGTGACCCATGGAACTCATTGAACTCATTCATCAGAGTTTTTATAAGAACAACTACATGCAACAGGGCTGCAGTGCAGTGCAGCAAGTATGCAAGGTTCAAGTGCATGTGACATGAAAGTCAAGGTTGTTTGCACGTTTTTTTTGTGAAAAACCAAGCAATTTGTTGTGACTGTCTTGTCTAGCTGTCAACTGACCTGATTCATTGTGTGCACGCATGCCATAAGTCTTCCTGCACATGATGAACATCATAGAACATGCAGGCGACCAAAGTTGCCGTGTCTGTATCTGCTATCAAGTACAACTGGTCAACAACGAGAAGGATGCTGAAATGAGGACAACTGAGGGATGAATACGTATCTATGTTTTAAAAGGTAATTAATGCTGTGAATAACACAATTTAGGAGAATCACACAGCATTTTAACTTTGCAGTGAGCAAAGTCAGTGGCTGATGACTGTGCTGATGTGATGTAGAGCCATGACTATTCCAGAACATGGCTTTGGAATTGGCTCTTTGCAGTCTTATAGTATGCATGACAGCACTTCTGCTTCCTTCGTGTCTCTGTCTGAGCTTCTCCACGGGTCAAAATGGAAAAAAGAAAACAACCTTTTTTCAAACAAAAAATACAACACTATGACGCATGCTACAATAGCGTCCACTGACATCTTTGGAAATACATTTAATTACTGTGTAACAATACGTTCTATCCACACTCTGAACTCAACACCTGATTAAGTGGGCAATCACAGGCTTCTTATGCAGCGCTTCGCTCTTTTAAATCCTCAAAGGTTAATGGCGCCTCTTAAAACTCTTCCAGGGATATCATAAGGAAGCCCCTGTTGTCCACACACACAACATCCTGTATAGCAATACTATATAATTAGCCCACTTAAGGACTTCTTTCTATTAAAGTGCTGGAGCATGTAAGGCTAACAGCAGAGAGGCACAAAAATTCAAAATGTTTCCAGACAATGAGGACCATATGCTAATGGCTATTCTCCCCTGGTTGGAAGCACTCGCGGGGGAGCCGGCACTGTGTGCTTCATGACCCAAGAAAAAGAAGAGCAATAGACACACACACATATATCACTTTTTACTCAACACTTTATTTTAGCACAGCAGCCTATTGTAATGGCAGACTTTCTGCTGAGCCAGCTAAAGTCAACTAACACAGCTGTAACGCCTGCATTCTGCTGATAAACTTTCTCCCAAATTACACGTGGAAACTGTTCAAATCTGATGAAAACACTAAGCTTTGTGAAACACATTAATAATAACTTGTCTCTTATGGCATAACCCCTTTTAAAGTGGAAAAATATAGAAAAACCTTTTCACTGACTTTTAATATGATTTCAATTAAAGAATCATCTGCAAAGTTTAGTTGCCGCCATATTTCTCAGGTAACAAAAGGTTTGGTTTTAAAACGCTCCCTTTCTGTATTGTTATGGTCCCCATGAGACCGGAGTCATTTTTTCTTTTTGCACTCCCATTCCAAGTTGGTTCCCAAACATAGTCAGGTGTTAGGCTGATAATTGAGCCACACTGTGGATTTTTGTTCTCCACTTGACTGAACTGCTATTGTCACATTAACAGTCAGTCACGTGCTCAGAGTACCAAAAGAAAATTACCATAAAATTTGTCATGTTTTGAGACTGTGTTAACAAGATGTGCCTTACTTGGCTACAGGAAACCTAAGCATATTCATTAATTGGTGTAATTCATCAAAAACTGTGCTCTTGCTTCTTTACCTTCGCTCTTAAATCAAAGGGAGCACGGCTAAATAAGATGCAGGCATGGCTGTTGTGCTATAGATATCCAGGCCCATTATTCCTGCTCTCAAAAAGAGCCATGTTGTAATGTGCAGTGTTGTGCTGTTTAGGATTTTATATTTATCGAGAGCAGACAGAGAGAATTCCAGCTTTGTCCTCCGTTGTGGCCAGCTAGGACCAATGCAGCCACGGCAGAGAGGGCTGCTGCACGTTCCTCTGACCCGCCCAGCAAATGAGAGGGTTCTGCGGTGCCGTGGCTGCTCTTAATTACAACCAAACAGCTGCAAACACACAGGGTTACAGGACAGGGGCCCAGCCATGGTGCCCAGCCAGGGGACAAGCCCTGCAGTGTGAGGTGGCCATAAGCAGCCCGCTGTGCTTTGCACTACCCACAGTTCACTCCCACGCCACGCGGCCCCCGCTGCAGCCCAGAACTCCTGCTGCCTCATCAAGTTCACTGGTAGAAATTGCAGGGTGGCAGGGGAATTATGTCTGTAAATATGACCACACTGACAATGAAATGTCATGGTCCCTGTTCAGCTCGTTGGGGCTTTGGGGAGGGAGGTTTGTCTGTTTCGATCCATGCACACCATGACAGCTGCTGAACTTTGCTGCTGATCACACCAAGAGAAGCAGAACATCTAACTACAAAGCATCCTGTTAGACAAATAAATTGAGGCTATAGTTCTTAATAATATTCTATTTAATGCAAGCCATGCAAGAAAGTATTACGTTCCTTGAAAATTGTTTCATTCACCAAAACTTTTCAACAAAGAAGTACTAGACTGAATTTGGTTCTCTCTGAATCAGTGACTACAGACGAGGTTTATGATCACTTCATACAATAAACATTTTCAACGACGTATTAAGCAACAGTTCCTGTGGATTCAAAATAATCTATAACAATTGTCTTTGACATCAGCTTGCTGATAGTTCAGTGTACTTTCCTGTAAGTTGAAAATTTAATTGCAGGATGTTGGGGGTTTTGCTGCATGTACTACATGTTTGAAATCCCATGACATTGGTTCATTTAGATTAACATCTGGGCTTTGTCTTGGCCACTTCTTAACCCCCCATCTCTTCTTTTCGAGCCAATACTCTGTGGATTTCATGTGTACTAGGAATAATTATAGTGATGGAAGGTCCACTTCGATGAACACAATAACTTACATGTTCTTCAAGGTCTCTGATGTGATACAGATTTGATAACTGAATCAATTACAGTAAAATGTATGCTCTCTAAAGCTTTTATCCTAACTCATCTCCTGTGCTGATCATATTTGTGCATTATCTGAAGGCGATAAACAAGCCTCTCTATCAACGACTGTAAGGGTGCCTTGCAAGTCCAGCTTTGATATTCAAGCATTGTTGGAGATTTTGTTTTGCATGAAGCAGTCAATGATTTTTGGGAACACATTTTATTGATCTAAGGGTTTGGCAGGGGATGCATGCTCTTTCTATCTAACTGATCATTTTTCAGATTTATATACTTTATGAAAATGAAAAACATTATGTAAATTGAGTGTGTCATTTGTTTGAGTGTATCACAGATAGGGACTGTTTCAAATAGGATCAAGTGCTTATGTTTGTACAATTTCCACAAAATATTATTTCTTTTTTCACTGTACAGACGCTATGACCAAATAAAAAGCCAGTCCCACTCACCTGCCTGTTCCTCTCATCCATGATTCTGGCGATCTGTATCTTCTTTCGCCCCATGGCTGGGTGTTTTCTGGTCTCTATGACACCTCAACAATATCAAAACAACACACTTTCTTCGCCCACTTCTCTAGTACATTGTGCAACAGTCTTTCTTCTTGTGTACTCTTTCACTCTTCTCTGTACACTCTTTGCTCTTTGGCAGACCACACGGCAATCTGAGGGAGAAAAAAAAACAAAATGTTAGGCTTATATTGTCTCTTTAGATAGTTTGAGTCATAAGAATGTGCCAAAGCACATTTACAAAGAGATGAAGCATAAGAACAACATGCCAATATTTCCTCCAACGCTGTGTGTGACCGTCAGCTGAAGTAAATGAAAATCTGCTCTGTATTTCTACCATACGCAGCAAGGGCAACTGAATTAATCATGTGGAAGGGAGCAGTATCTTCCTGGGTTGGGAACAACGTATTAACTAGTTACAACTGGTGTGAATTAGTGAGCTCTGGTAAGCCAATATTGCTTCTGTAACTGACAGCCAAATCAAAAGTCCCCTGTGTGTCCAGTCTATCTGATAGGCCAAGCTAACAAGTTACTTGCACCATTCATATCTTTTATTCATGACACTGGTATAATCATATGCAATAATACCAGGAAATTGCTTATTCGGTTATAATTATATATGAGATGGTTAGCGTAGATCTCTGGATGACTTTCCTTAAAAGAACAAGATATCAACCTTTGATAAAAAGAAAAGTACTGGAACATATCTAGCCATCTTATTCATATGCTTTTTATGAGACCATTTTCAGTCCTTCCCTCCCTCAGGACAAAACTTATTACAACTACATATCCAGTTTTCATTAGAATAAAAATTACTACTCCCTCTCTTGACTGTTGAGATGGTGTGCTTCCTTTAGTTTTCTAAGGTGACCACACTGATGCCAGCTTTACTCTTAAGATGATTAAGAGACTGCTTAGTTTGGTTTTGACATTAGGCTGGTTGAAATCTCCTGGATTGGAGGAGAAGCCAGCACGGATAAAGAGAATCGGGAGTGTATTACCACATGAGATTGTCACCTGGCCAGTAGCTCGGAGACCACAGCGTGCCCACGGGAAAAAATAACTCTACCCTGTCTCTGGCCCTGTGCAAGAAGAGATATAGCCCCTTCCCTTGAGGCACATCCATCACGTTAAATTCAGTAAACAGAAAATGTCTAAATAACTGCATTTTTCTCACAGTATGAGAACAAATGTAGAAAGGTTAACAACTGAGGCCATTAGAGCCGGTCAGCATTTATGGGGTGAGGAAGCCAGGGGCTGAATTGGCAATGAAAACTGAAATGACCAGTTCCAGTGGCACACAGTCATTATGGGTTGCAGATAGACTGGCATTATGGTGTCTGGCTGTCTGAATCGGGGCTCCACTGTAGGCAAACTTGACTGAGATCACCTTGCTAACTACCCACGCATGGCTGTTGGGAGCCAGAAAAGAAACCGCCTGAACCCCCACAAAGAATTTCCCCAAACCACATCACAGCAGATGAGGGAGAATGACAATGTTCTAGTTTATTCACCATTTCACACACATACAAGCTGAGACAACCATGTTTGAATAAAAGTGAGTCTGTGGCAGCAGATGTCAGCTGGCCCAAAGACATGTCTGAGGGAGCTAAAAATTCTCATTAGGACCAATAGTAAACAGTTACAGCTCCAAATAAAAAAATCTTAGTATTAATCTAACCTAGTTAGTGAGGCCTCTGCATTTTTTTGCTCCAGATGACTTTGTCACTGAACGTCAATTTCAGAGCTTTGATTGACCAATATTCAAAATATTATTTAGACATTTATGTGCCTTCACTCTGGGTTTGTAAATCTGTGCATATGGTAGCTGTTTGAGGCTGTTGGAGTAAATGGCCTGAAACACTAAAGACACTGGCTAACAACTCTGAAGCTTTACAGAAAAATCAGTTGGGATAGAAAAAGTTTTGAACGCAAGTTCAAGACCACTCTCTTTTCTCACTATAAACAGAGTTGCAATCACAGTAGAAAAGTGCAAGTTTTTCAAGTTTTTCATCTAAAGAATGATAGATTCAGCAAATGCCATTCCCATATACAGATGTGAAATGACAAGAGGATCTGAAGGCCGCATATCTATATGAAAAAACAGGACTGATTCAGATTACAAAGGAGAACAATGTCTGCACTGTAACAAGTACACTTTAGGCATAACAACGTTTATGTCCTAAATCATGTGTTCTTGATGCATGTGAGGGAACGCGTGTGTGCGTGTATGTGTGTTTAATAAAAAGGCAACAACAATCCACTTAAAAGAAAGAAAACTAAAGAACTAAAGAAGCGCCAGAACAACATAAGGTCACTTCTGCAAAAACAAGAATCTACAGGACTGACATTTTTGAAGACCATGACAGCTTTAAAAGCCACAGCAAAAGATGCACCTCCACATTTTGCTGTCAAAATAATGATCATTTATTGGTTGGAACAGTGGTGGCATTGAAGCCAATGATTCAAAGCAAAGTAAGTAGACAACATTGAAGTAAAATTCCTGTAGGTTTAATCCTGAACCCTCTTGTCCGACATCATTAATTTCAATAATTGTTGGAATCTGTCCAATGTCAGCCCAAAAATAGCTTCATTGTAATCCCAAAGTCCAAATCCCTACACTGACCTCGTCACTGGTGAACTCCTCTGTTACCATTACATTCATTTGTTTGAAGACTGAAAATGACTTTCGGAAAACTCAGAAGTTATTACTTGATGACTTCACGGACAAGAAAGAAATAGAAGACAGTCCTGATCAATTACTTGTTCCAGTTGGTACAAAAAAATGTTACAAATACCCAAAATTTCCATTAGATACACATTTTGGTTCCGTTTGTTAACAGAGGTGTTAAAAGTATCACTACCTCTTTTCACATACGGCTTCTAATCTGTCATTTTAAAAACACTGTTGTTTCCTCTTGCTAATTCACACAACCAGGAGGTACATAAGCCCCACATTACTGTGAGTTCACACAAATCACACATTTAAACCAAACAACAGAGATGCAGATTTTACATTTATGAAACATATATAAGGGGCCGACCGTACTGTATGCAGAACGCTGCACATCATTCGACAGCATTTCACAGATTAAAAGGACCTTGATGTGATACACCAGGTCCATTTTGGTATAAAGCAGCCCAGCAGTTCTGAAAGATGCTTACCAAACATTTGGAACCCATAAATCAATGGGTGGAAAATGTGTCACCATAGAAACGGCAACGTCAGCTTGACATATAGTCAATAATATATGTCTAACACAACAGATATAGGCCTTACTAAAGCATACCATCTACTAAACATGTACGCAGTTCAGAAGATCCCACACAAGTCTCTTGACTGGACAGGTTTACGGACAGAGATGCCACTTTGCTTCCTTCTCTTTCCTGAACATGGACCACTGAGACACGGGTAGGCTTGGTGACAGACGTGGTGCTTTGTCAATCAATAAAACATGCTAAATTCCCAGTGCAATGACTGGATCTAGCATGTTCTCCTATGTTTCTCCTTGTAAGCCTGTGTTCACTCTGCACATGTTCACTAAATCCACTCGGCCCAAGATGAAATTAACAATAAAATTACATAACGCACTTGCGTCCTGACACATGCGAAATTGGAGGAAAGTGACATTAGATGTTTTTCTGTTCATTATTTTTCGACAGCAAAAAAAAAAAACTCAACCATACAAAATAGTTCTTCATCTCACACAAGATCTTGTGAAAGATGAAGAACCGGTCACATCTGCAGCTACCATGGCTACACATCTTTATAGGTGATGGACAAAAGCCAGAGTTTTCAGCACAGCCGTGACAGTCGTTCTTCCTGTGAAAACAAAGTTAGTCTCAGTATCCTACCAGAGACCGTGGGCAGACAAGACTCAACTTCCTGCCCCTCCACTTCCTGTTATTCAGGACCCCTCTGTGTGCCCTCTGCGGGGGGAGGTGGTAGAGAGGAAGAAAAGGGAGGGACCACCTTTGGGACACCCTTCCCTTCTGATCCCGCCACTTATTACCTTCCTGAATGTAAGTCTGAGACTAAACAACAACAGGAGCTCATCTCCCGTGGCCTTGCGCTGTGCGTTAACTGTGTTTACTGTAAGGATCATTTCAGAGGCTGGTTAGAAAACCTGAGGACCCTCAGCCATTTTCTTTGCAATTAGTAGACACTGAAATTCTTTTGGGTTATTTCAACACTCTGCTTACATAAGAATGAATCACGGCTCTCACAATGCAAACATACATTGAAACAGCATAAGGACAGAGCCAGATTTTTCTTTAAAAAATGCAACAGCCTCTTGCAATAATCTGGTGTGCCTTGAAAGCAGCATTTTGCGAACAAATCTGTGAAAATGCTTTTAAATGTACAAAACTCAAAATGTCACAGCCGTGTTTTGTTTCGTCTTCGGGCAGCCGGAGACGTGAAGTGAGGCAGCCTGAATCCATACTTATACACATTTGTTTCAGTGGCGCCTTGACACCAGAGCAGTAGGAAAAGAACATCCACTTCTTTGTTCTTCCTTTCATCAGAAGGAGCTGTACCTGTAAATGAGGCTGTTGGCCTGAGGGAAGTGGAGGCAAGCCAGCCTGCTCCCTTTCTCTCCCTCTTCCCTTTTGTGAGGATGTGCTTATCTCCCTCTCCAGCAGTGAAAAGCAGGATTGTGGCCCTAGCAGCATCAGTTGTGTTAATGTCTCCTGATGCTAATCTGACACACGGCTGATCCCTCAACAACTACTTTCTCCATCCCTTCTTTTTTATCCCTTGCCTTCCTTCTTTCTATTTTGCTTGCTTTTTCCCCATGATTTATTTCTTCCTTGTTTCTCCCTTTCTTTGAACTCATGTTACACATCCCCTCACCTCAGTTTCCAAGGCGACTAATGAGATATAATTAATAAGAGCTATTGCAAGGGCATGCAAACTAAAAAAGAAAAGAAGAACAAGAGGCTTCGAGAAATGAAAAAGGAGCAATCTGTGAAACCTGGAAATATTGCGGCACTTT